CAACAATATTTTCAGAAAAAATGGAAAACATGAATTAAAAGTAAATAGATATGGGTTCATACTATAGTCAGGAGAAAGAGAATTATTTTTTCTATTTAGATCCATATATGATTCACGCAAATATGTTACAATCTTGGTGTAAACCTAGAAACAAAAAGTTTGAAATAAAAAACTCTGATGACATGAATTAAGAATAGTGTTGTATGAACGGGTTAATTCATGTACGTAATTCTGAGAGCGAACTACGTTGTTCGAATGCCCGTCAGAACATGGCATCACAGACCTACTGAATGAAAATAGTTCTACTACTAAGGAGGGGGTTTGGGTTTTATAAACCTTATAGAAAAAAAGCATACATCTGATTTTAAGGAAATCATCAAACGAAGTAGGGGAGACTGGGGCACCTTCGGCATCGGGGCACCTTCGGCAACCGCGTTTTCGATATGAAGCTCTCACCTTACATCACTAGTTTCGATACATAGGTATCGAATATCGAAATAAATAACTGACACAAATGGTCTGTTCCCGTACTACAAGAATCTACTCGATTTTACTATTTTCTTCGATATCATAAAGGAAAAAAGTGTTATCGGAGTAAAAATAGTAGATTCTTGCAGTACGGGAACATACCAAAAGTTTGAAATTTCTAGCTAATAAGCTTATTTACATACATGGGTTTTTGTATTTTTATAGTTTTTTTGTAATACAGTCGACGCTCGGTATTACGAATGCTATATTGTCAGGCCCATTCATTATAGCGAAAAATTCGTTTATCGCGAAGTTTTTTAGGGTGCCATTTTATCTAAAAACAAAAATGTTAATCCACTTTTCTTTGGATTTCTAATAAAAATAAATTAATTAACGTAATAGCAGCAATAATAACGTGTTTATATATGTTTTTTATAAGGCTGACCCATTATTTTTTGCGCCATTCGTTATGCCCAGTATATAAATTTGGAAAACTTTCGTTATATGCGAATTCGTTATACCGGGCGTCGACGTATTTCAATTCCATTTCGTAAGTATTTCGTGTATAAAACTTTTTACATTTTTAAGACAATTTTATTAAATAGTGGTTAACTACGATGTGTATTATTACACAGATTGTTCAATATTATTTCCTTAAAATGTTTTTAAGTTTGTCTTTAAAACTAATCCTTTAATATGGTTCGAAATCGCATATATAAATCAAACGTGCTTGTATTGACGAAAATGCGATAGAAATCCCCTATTTCTGATGGTGTGCGACCTTGAGATGTAAACGTCCGCCGTTCGAAAATAAAGCCATATAATTCATTGTATGGCGTATTAAAACCAAATAGAGCCTTTAGAGGATCAGAATTTCAACCAGACTGATAGCGATGACAATTACCCGGCTATGACTATGGTGCCGAATGTGCCCCATCAAATGCCGAAGCTACCCCGGGTTGGGGCACATTTGGCGAATTTGACTTTTTTAAAAAACTGTAAAATTTTTTAACTAATACTATTTTTTTATATCTTTTTGGTACTTTTTTTTATAATTAAGTGTCAGAGGATAATAATCAGCCATAAAGTTGTTATATATGTATATAGAGCTCTAAAAAAGGTGCCGAAGGTGCCCCAGTCTCCCCTACCAAGAAACTCTTTAACATAAGGAGAAACATGATCACGCAACTTAAGTACAAACACATAACGCATTACTCTGTGGAATAAAAGCCTATGTTTGCGCAGGACAAAACCACAGCTGCCACCAAAAATCTCAACGCAATACATAAAGTGAGGCATAATCAGCGCATGTACTACCTGTACCCTAATACTTTTCGGCAAGGCAACGTCCAAACAGTATAACTTTACCTTGGACACTAACGAATTAACATGCACATCAAACACCAAACCACTATCAAGCAACAATCCAAGACACATCATGGAGCTTACAACATCTATAGACGAACTATAGATGGAAACATTTAATGAATCCGCTCGCATGTTGCCAAAATACATAACTTTGGTTTTCTCGGTATTTATCGAGAGCCTATTGGTAGACAACCACCTAACTAACACATTAACAGTGAAATCAATCGAGGACTGCAACACATCCATAAACCAGCGTTCGAAAATAAACATTATGGTACCGTTCCATAGTGTTCTGTACCGTACCAAGGTGGATAGGTACACTAAAATAACGTACTGTACCGGTACACAAACACTAAAAATATTTTTAGCGTTACTGTTCCGGAGCACAACGAAAATCTTAGCGTACCTGCTGCGGTACACTAAAAAACGGAACACTAAAAATGTTAGTGTTCCGCTTATCGGAACTCTAAAAATCTTAGTGTTCCACTTGCCGGAACACTAAAAATCGTAGTGTTCCGGCAGTGGTACACCAAAAATCGTAGTGTTCCACTGGTCGGAACAATACAAATCGTAGCGTTCCACGTCTGTTTTTTTTTTTTTTTTTTTTTTTTTGAGGTAAAATGAGATCAAATAATAAAAAAATAATACTGAATATAAGTTTACTTGCAATAAAAAAAAGTGAAAATGTCCATTTGAAATAGGTATTTTGGCCAGTTTTTGTGACAAAATTATACAGCTTAGGATAAAATTTTCATTAATTTACACAACGAACATATTTTCCATAATATTGGGAGATCTCCTTGTAAAATGCTAGTACGAAATTTTTTTCTTAAAACAATTATACCTGCATCCATCTATGATTCATACTTTTAGGAAATTTTAGCAAAAATATTCAAAATTTGGTGATTGTCACACAATCAACATAATTATTACCTGCTTATTCATTAAAAGAAGTGTACAAATTACGCGGGTATGAAAAAAATATTTTTATGATTTTGGGATAAATGTTACAAAACCACATATTCTTTATGATTTTTGCACAGGTAGTCTTATGCAATACATTTTTCCGATCAGCGCAATCGATTATCAGCGAAAATGTAATCCAATGGAATTTTCAGTTGCGAGTTGGCATCAGATTGAATTTTCACTCGACGACCTTTTTTAGTTATAAAATATTTATTATGTTAAACTGTAGATGCTAATAAAATATTACTAATTTTTAATAAAATATAAACAAATACAAATTTAACAAGTTTTCTATTTATTAAATCTATTGAAAAAAATATATAAATTTTATTCATACAAAAAATAAAATATAATTAATACATCTTTTTGTGTTCCGACAAATGGAACACTACGATTTTAAGTGTTCCGCCAAGTGGAACACTACGATTTTTTGTGTTCCGCCAAATGGAACACTACGATTTTTAGTGTTCCGGCCAGTGGAACACTACGATTTTTTAGTGTTCCGGCAAGTGGAACACTACGATTTTTTGTGTTCCGACCGCGGTACGCTACGGTTTTTTAGTGTTCCGACAGCGGTACACTACGATTTTTAGTGCTCCGACCGCGGTACACTACGAATTTCGTTGTGCTCCGGAACAGTAACACTAAAATATTTTTTAATGTTTGTGTACCGGAACACTAACGCTAAAAATTTTTTAGTGTTTGTGTTCCTGGTACGGTACACTACGATAGTGTACCGTTTTTTTGCGAACACTGCCATAAACACATATTCTCCTTTAAATAATATTTGTATATCATCTGCAAACGCAAATGGCATACAACTTCTACTATTAATACTACTGAACATATCATTAACATACATTACAAATAACAGGGGACCAAGAACAGACCCCTGAGGCACACCACTACTTACTGGCAACGTACTCGAAAAACAATTCTTACAAGCAACATACTGTTTTCTTTTAATTGTCGAACATGTGAGACGAGCCGTCATATCCTCGACTTCTCAAAAAGGGTAGATCCAATTCTGTGTTTATTATAACGGTCGAAAATTCTTTTCCGTCTAATTCCACCTATCAAATGAAACATTATATGACTTTTTTGATACATTTCCAAAAAATATACATATATAGTTTCATCCGCTAAAATCGAAAATAATACAACACTTTTCACATATTCAACAATTGACTTCTGGGCGTATTAACCAATTAATTCTATTAAATCGTTCTGTATTCTGGGAATCAGGTATGTTGCATTTTTGGGTGTACTCTCCAAACATTTCCTAAGATTACGTCTAACGACAGTATTCAGGAGGCTTTACTTCCCTTCAAGGCGATGTCTTCCATTTCATACAATAAAATTGTCTCACTTTAACTGTACACGTTTGTTCTTTCAATATATAAGAAGCTTGTTTGTCCATAACATGTTTTATAGGTTTTGAAAGATCTTTCATTCTCGATATAAAGTCTTGATTTTTCATCATTGCATCTTTGTGGTATTCCTTTTTTTCGTTGGCGGTAAATCATTCAACAGCATTCTTCCAATTTGTAAGAGGGCATGACAGACGTAATTTTGGGACTAGGTGGTTGCCCTTTCCGCACCCTCTTTTATTTGAAAATAACATGCCGACTTTACAAAAAGCACTGTTGCACGTATATGAAAAAAATATTTTTAACATTTTATCCACAATCTATGCTCTTCTTTATACTTTTAATAAACAAATAAAAATTTGTTTATTTTTTTGTTTCAAAAACAGGGCAAATTGCAGTGCACATGTTTAGGTATTCAAATTTCAGTTTTAAATCTATCAAGGTCCCTCAAAAATTGCACAAAACCACATTTTTATTAAATATAAGCTTTTTATGTTTAAAAATTTGTAAAATCGCTTATTGAAAATTCATTATTGTTAATAAAAATAATTCAGGTACTAAAGAGTAAATGTTTAAGTTGCTGGCCATAAAAGGTTCGTACGACATTTATAAACTAAATATAGCATTGAATGATATTGCATTTTCCATTAATTAATGCGAAATGAACCTTTAGTGGTTTTGTGTTTTTTTTATTAATGAAACTACATACATATATGATTGCATATATTAGTCGTTGTGATGTGTGTAAGATTTGTTAATCACGAAAAAATATATTTTTGTCAAATATGTATTATCAAATAATGTTTACCTTTATTGGAGAATGCGATGTTACAGGAAAAGCTACATTTTGGGAATTTAAGTTTGCAGATAAAACTGATGACATTTTTTTGTCACTGTCTTTTTCAATAATTGTAACGTCGATAACTTCCTTGGTATTTACTGCAGATATAGGTGATGAATCAGATTTAGTAAGCATATTATTTTTCGATTTTTCTCGTAGTTCTTCGTCTGATTCTACGTCTTCAGGATCAAGTTTTAGCATTAATTGCTTAAACTAAAAAATATGGGAACATATATTAAAGAGCAATGGACATTATATAATTATACATACATCCAAATATTTGAGAACAATATCCATCTTTTCTTCTTTGCTGAGGGGGCATGTGAGTAATTCTTCCGAATTCGAAGAAGTTTTTTGTTCATGTTGCCTTTTTATTACATCAATTGTAGTAACTGGATTAAAATCTGGAACGTTTTTTCGCGTAACAGCTTTTTCGTGCATTTTTGGCTCTGAAGGTGAGTATCGAGCTATTTTACTATCTGTTATGCTATACATATCTTTCAGGTGTTCCTTCAGAATCAATAGTAACATACATGCTTGGGCGGATGTTATGCATCTTTGTATTTCAAGTGTATCTTCAGGGAGTCTTTTAAATAGAACTTCGGGGTCTTCTTCGTCGTCATCGTCTTCTAAGATATCTTGGGCCTTTTCGCTAGGCTTTAAACATTCTTTAAATGTTGCCAATATATTGGTTCCAGCCATTGATATTAGCAAATCAATTTGATGAATTAAATAGAGTGGTTCGTCCTGAACGACATAGGGGAAATAAGCTAAATTATCTGCTATATAAAGCATTTGGCGAAGTGATGTTTTCTGGTCATCAAATTGTTTAGTGACTGTTTGAACTAACGCTCTTCTTTGTGGTTTTGTAGATCGTAAAAGTGTATATAAAAAATCATTTAAAGCAGTAGGTAGCACATCCGCATCTCTTTTCCTAAAAATATAGCAAAAGTGTAACAATACAGTACAATTATAAATCAATTGCATATATATTTGTTTCAAATATAAACATATAACACGGTGTTAGAGAAAGGAAAATATTCTCGAAAATCTTTATTAAACGTTTTTTGCGAGAAGCAAATTTTGAAATATTGATATGACCTAAAAATCGGTGTCTAAGGCATTAAATCACCAGGCGAACATAAATATTATTCTTCTATATTTGTTTTGCAAATTTTTTTACAATTCAGTTTTTTTTTAATTTATTTATTTTTTACGTTACATTTAAATAAAATTGAAAAATATTATAGTGACATTTATATAAACGATACAATTTTATTCCTTTACAATTTTATTCCTTCCATCCAATCGAATTCCCTTTTAATGTAATGTTTAATGTCAGTTATATCTGTGCTCATTTTTCTATTTTGGCTTAAAACACTAATGGTTGGTTCTGATTATAAAATCATGTATGTGAACAGGTCTTGATTTTTTTACACTATCACATTTTCGTGTGTGATTTAATCTGGCATTTCTAATTATTTCGTGACATGATTCAATCTCCGCTTCTGTCAAATTTCCTATTGTATTATGTATTTTAACGAAATTAAGTTAGAGTGGTGTAAGTCTTAACTATATTTAATTTTTTTTCCAAATGTTAAATTTCGTAAGTGTCAAAAAGTGAGATTAGGTTGTAAAATTAGTAGGAGAGATATAGAGTTGTCAAAAAAGTGACATCAATATTTAAAAATTGTCATATCTTAATGGCCAATTTGACTATTCTCTAAAAAAAGATAAATCTCTCTTAGTTGCAAGTAGTAGCAGAACATTTTTGCATATTCCGCTTCGTAAGTGATGTCCAACTAACGTAGAAAAAGTCTCCAGGTGGCAACTTTTTTATATTCTACATGATATATGAAGAATATATATTTTTTCTATTATACTAAATAGGTAATTTCTTGACACACATTTTCAACGTGATTATTTTTCCGATGATTTTCGTTTTAGACGATCTATATAAAATATGTCATATTTCATAAGCTATAACTTCATTATTCCTCCATTTATCGACTAAATTCTTTTTAATTCGTAATATCTGAACTGTTTTCTGTAAAATAAAATGTATAAATTTTAACAGCATATTTTTTGATTTTTGTTCACTGAGGCAACACTTTTGTCTTATCAAAAGCCTTCGATACCGTCAACCATGCCACACAGTCGCATGTGGAGTCCCGGATTATAAAATAGAGATCTGTTTAACATATACCTTTCCGGTATCGTTAAGTATGTCTATCCTCCCGATTTAGCTTCCACGCGCAGAATATGAACATATTCGCAACAAAATCTACGGCCACATTGTTCAAAACATGGACGGCGGAGATGAAAATGCCATTGAATGTGCATATCGAGGGGCTTACAATTCCGACCACCAACTACCACAGTTATCTGAGATAAGTTGAATAGTAGGAACAAGATCCTCAGATTGCCGGCAGGTTCACAGTAATATACACTGCCTGAACATTCTTTTATTCTAGTCCTGTCTTTCATTATTCTTATTCTACACGATAAACTTATGTTTTTTCACATTGCACTATAGGTAATTTGGACAGTTTTTTAGGCAAAAAGTCAATTTTTCAATTTTGGAAAATAACATCTTTTTTGATGACATGTCAAAATTTTTGATTTTGTAAGATTTTTGCGTAAAAGTGTCTTAAAAGCGGTGCAAATCGTAGCCAAACTCTACACTTTGAAAATGAAATGGAAGAAATAAAAATAAGGCGTATTTTAAAACGTTTGGAACCGCTAAATACAAAGCGTAAACATAAAAATTAATCATGGAGAGTATTGGCGGTGGTGTGTGCTGTTTATTTAAGCGTTTTCCCCTAATGACCAAATAGTTAATTTACATTTCCAAATTATACATTTTGTACAAAATGCTTTGAATGACAACTTTTGTTTTGTTTCTTTTTTCTACTTTTGCTTTAGTATATCATTCTTAGTGCCAGATTGTAAAATTCCTTCAAATTATTAAAGAAAAAGGGAGGTTGTTTTAAAGAAAAAACATGTGACAACACTTTGTTAAAAAGTAGTTTCATTTATTGATAAATAACTATTGATAACTATTAAAAACAATATTTTTATTACTTTAAAGTAATTTCAGAGTATTTACAAGTAACAAGTTCTCAAATAAATGCAATTCCACTTTCAAAATCAAAAGTGGTTTCATTCAGAAAAAAAATTTCGTTTTCTGAAGAAGCTAAATACGGAATTAATTACACTTACACATTTTCGATATTTGGTTTGATGAAAGAAATAAAAGCAAAGAAACATATTGTTGTTTGAAACGTACTCGTAAGTAAAGTTGAAAATACAAACAATATGGACCGAAAATACGTCAAATTAAAACACAAATTTAGGCGGGGCACAGCTATTTAACGGCGGAATGTAAACGTTAAGCACCTCTACCTCGGCGGTACCACACTTGACCGCTACCCCCATACATTCCATGTATGGGTCACAAGAGTCTAGCTCAAGCGAGATAGGTCTGTACTGGACAGAATGGAATCCTAATTCTCCACCTCTTGTACGATCTTTTCTAATCACGTTGTATCTATCACAACTTTGAAGACTGCAGGTGTTGTTCAGCTTCGTTTCCTGGATCGCAGCGACCATAGTACTTCTTCGACTCATAAAATCCACTATCTCATTGATTTTCCCTCGAAGTCCATCGCAGATGAATTGGAGAAAGAATACGTTATCAGGAGTTGCGACAGCAATGTGCGGTGTTAGCGGCTCCGGCTCAGGTTGCTGCTGCGGAGATTGCGGGGGAGTCACGTAATCCGAAGACGACGACGATTATGACGTGGACCACGGTGATGACGACGACTCGCTGGGGACTGCATTGGCGCAGCATGAAGCAACGTAGTCCCTTTCGCTATACTTCTGTATCCGGCTAAGGCCGGATTAACTCCTGAAATGTACCCATTTTCTGCATCCGTTACATCTAACCGAGATAGACCTGTGGTGGATGCTGTTGTGACAAACTGAGCAGAACCATGGTCCGGGGCTTGTCTCAATCCCGGCACGGACCAACAGAATCCGGAGCAAACATTCCGGGAATGAAGCTCCCGAGATGAAAAAATACACATTGTACTTGCTGGGTTGACAGCCCTTGGTCGGGAGTTGATTCCTCCGAGTCAATCCGGCCATAGAACCGGCCGTCGTGGGATTGATAGCTGTGCCCCCCGTTATTTGCCTGACATTAGTCATCTTTTGGAAGGCAATAACCGTCTGGTGCTAGGGGATTTCAATGCACATCATGAGTTATGGCATTCCGTCCTAGGTAATGACCAGAGGGGCATGGCGCTGGCCGAGCAAATTGATAGTTCAACGTTTTGCACGGTGAATGAGGACATACCCACCAGAATAAGGGGAGACTGCCAAAGCTCACCGGACATCTCCATCGTGTCTCCGGGTCTGACGAATGACGTGGCTTGGCAACCCGTCATATCATTAGGGTCAGACCACTTCCCTATTATCATATCCATCAACAGACCACCCGACTTCATAACTTCTGAACGCCGTACTTTCCTTAATCATGGGAAAGCCAATTGGCAAGAGTTCAGAAATTTCACCAATCGTCGCTTCAGAGAACTGCCCATCCCTTCTGATGCTCGGGTAGCAGAAAGGAATTTCCGGGACATCATCACTGCTGCAGCCGCTCGCTATATACCTGCGAGTCGTATACCCGAACTAAGACCAAACTTCCCAGCAGAGGCAGTGGGACTATTCGCTAGTCCCGCGTGATGAGCTTCGTCGTATTTCAACCGGCAGTTTATAGAGCACTCCGAGAGAGACCGGGCGAAAAGGAGAGTATTGCGCCGTATACGCTCTCTTCAGGTGGAGGAGGAACGACCACAATTTACATTGGAGGATGTTGCAAGTGTCATCAGGAACGCGAAATCATCCAAAGAGCTTGGTCCAGATGGAATCTCCATGGTTATGTTGAAGCAGCATGATGAGCCAGGAGTAGATTATCTTACTAAAGTCCTCAACTTGTCGTTATCCACCCTAGTAGTTCCCGATGCCTGGAAAATGGGCAGGTTGGTCCCGCTACTGAAGCCGGACAAGGATGCCAGCAAAGGTGAGTCATACAGGCCGAGCTCACTTTTGTCGCCAGTAGCCAAGACACTTGAGGCTTTGCTACTCCCTAGTATTCGTCAATGATACTCAGTTGCTGATCATCAGCATGGGATCCGTAAGGAGCACAGCACAACAACAGCTTTGCACGCCATTTCCGCACACATAGCAGAAGGACTCAACCAGAACAGGCCGTGTAAGAGGACAGTCATGGTGGCGCTAGACCTATCAAAGGAATTTGATACCGTCAGTCACGCCAAGTTGTTCGAGGACGTCGAGAGAACAACCCTCCAGCCAAGTTTGAAACATTGGATCGTGAACTATATGTGTGGACGCCAGTCGTACGTGGAATTCAGAGACAGGAAATCGGTGGCCTGTAGAGTTAAACAGGGAGTTCTCCAAGGAGGGGTGATATCTCCGGAGCTGTTTAACCTCTACCTCTCTGGAATTCCACGCCCACCGGACGCCATAAAGATCGTAACATATGCGGATGATTGCACGATTATGGCGTCAGGACCTACAATTGATGACATTTGCGAGAGGCTGAACCACTATTTCGTGGATATCCCTGACTTTTTCCGGTCGAGGCATATGAAAATATCCGCCGCTAAGTCAACGGCCACACTGTTTACCACATGGACAGCGGAGATGCGGCTATCTTTGGATGTGCAGGTCGAGGGGTCCACAATTCCGACCACTAATTATCCCAAGGTTCTAGGGGTCACATTCGATAGTCTATACAAGTCGTCCGCGCATGCCACAGCTATTTGCGATAAAGTCAGGAGCAGAAACAAGGTTCTCAAGTCGCTAGCCGGTAGCACTTGGGGAGCTGACAAGGAAACCTTGTTAACGACT